AGCAAAATAAAATTATAAACGAGAACTATTACATAATTACATAGAAAAATTCTTCGAAATATTGCTGCATCTGCGGATAATTGTAACTAATTGGATACGGTGCACTTTTAATGGCAGTTTATTCTAATTTTAAATCTAGCAAATTACGTGAGTACTTATTATGTAAATCCCCATAGACAAAAAAGTATATATATAGATATATTCCTTATATTTTTACTAAACCAAATACTCTGATTGCTAAAGAAATACGAAGTTATGTGAAGTTTGTTACACGATCGATCGACCAAATCTATTCATTAAGGGAATGCCTAAAGTACGTACTAAAGTAAGAATAATTCGAGGGAAGAAAAAAGCAGTGTTACGTAAGAATTTAAATATATACATTAAGACTAGACGAGGCAGTTTCAGGAGCCTTCATCGAAGTTGCTATAAGCGCAGTAAGATCTCTGGAAAAAACGAAATCTAGCTTCAGCTATAAATATATTACATGTTATATACTTCGATTTTTTACACAAAATAATTGAATTATCTTATGCGAAAATAGCATGTACAAACTCGTCGCTTTCCTTAAGTAGTTCCCGCTGCCCAGACTTCCTCTGCTTCACGAATATAAATAGTGTTGAAATATACAGATGTTCCTTAATGCTAATTCAAAGTTTTAAATAAATATATTATCTGAAATTTTTATAAAAAATTATCACTAAACACGTACAATAATGATTATAAAAATAATCAATAATTGAGAGTTATTGATAAAATATAGACCACATTTTATATATTTATTGATGTGTTTCTATAAGTAATCTGTAAAAAGGTAAATTTTAATTGATAGGAACATTATTCAGCAAGAAGGGTTTTTATGGATGGTAAAAAAGATAATGTAAAGAACAAAGTGTTTGGCGAAGCATTACATTAAAAAATATATAACTTTAAATAAATATTTACTAGTAGTATTAGAATAAATATTTATCTTCATTCCATTCGTTTCTAGCATAGGTATAAGATTAATAAGAGTGTGTGAGTAGGAAGAAGACTGGTGAATCAGGGTTTTAAATAAACAAATAATAATAACGTGTGCGACAACCTATTTATTGTTTTGTGAAAAATACAAATTACTAGGACGTGTTTATTTGATATTTTTATTAAGTATGCATTGCTCAATAAAGTGATTTAGAGAGTCACTGTAAATGTACATGTGTATTTCTATGTAAGCGATAATACGCAAGTGCATCACATTATATTGAAAAGTATTAATTATTTATCAATATATTTGTATCGATCTAGTTTTTATTGATAATTTTACAGTCAATTCCAAACTTTCAAGCCTTTAATATTGATTATAGCAATTACTATAATATGCTTATTAATTTCGATATTTTATTGTTAAAAGGATATTCATAAATTTAAATGTTGACAGTAAAAAATACAATAAATTTATATTACAAAAAAATTATAATATTAATCATTTTAACGCAGATTTACAACTAAAATTTTTATTTGCAACATATACAAGCGAGTGAATGTTATATGGTACATCGAACAATAAAAAAAGTACTCTGAACAACAATCGCTTTATAATAGAAACATGCGTTTTTCTAAAAACTAAACACACTTAACAATATAAATTAGTTATAAGAATACAAAAACAAAAATAATACAAGCATAAATATGAAAAACAGATATGATATATAAAATATGCAGGATGTAATTTGTACAAATAAAAGTAAATGGGATCTTACTGATGACGGTGTATCTATAATTATAAAACCATTCTTCCTGAATTATTTTAAAATTTATTTAATCTTTCCATAATACTTTCATGAAGTTATATTTATTTTTACACTGCTTCATTAACAAATATTAAAAATGTGTAAAATTTGATTCATATGATTTATATTATGTACTTATTAACGAGATTTTTCATTTTAATCATATCTATTTATCTTACGATTTATAATAACCATAGATCTATAATTTTAACACGAATTTTTTTAAAAAATTTATAAATAATATAAAATACTATTAATTAATTAATTAAAAGATATTACCTTATCTATGTCTAAAATTAATTTTTTTAAAACGTTCTTCGATTACTATAATACAATAAACTGTATATTTTTTTTTATTAATTAAAATGTTTAGTCATACGTCTTTTTTCGAAGACGCAATTAATGTCCTGTGCTAGCATGGGTTATTTATTGTAACAATATTATTGAAAAAATAAAATATTAATGATTATAATTTGTCAATCAAAAATTATAGATTATATTAGAATATAATAGCTTAAGTAATTAATTTTAATTATTCATTTCAATACCTTACGATAGATTACTGTAACATCTTATAAATTAATGTTGTAGTTAGTTGGTATAATTTATAATAAATAACTGCAAGATATAATTTTATAAAACAAAAGAGACAATGATAAATAAAGTTTTATTGAAAATTTTTTGAAAATTTTTATGGAAATAATTTAAGCAAAATTTTTATTAACATATATTATTAGTTGAATTATCATTTTGATACGTTACAATAAATTTAGTTACGAAAAATAAAGTGTAATGCCTGAGTCACAATTTATTAAAAAATAATGATATTGAAATATTATATTTAAACCAGTCACATAGAATTAAATTTTTATATAATGTAGGAATACAATGTCAATAAATGACTATAAAGTAAGAAAAATAAATAAAAGTCGTGTTATAATTAAGTGATTTTTTTAAAAATCTGTGAATTATAGAAAGAATAGAATAAGTTATCATTTTATATAATAATTTATATTTAACAGTTATTATTTATTATTTAATTACGTAATATAAATTATATAAAATGAATAATTATTAGTTTAAATTGCAATTATCTTGAAATTCATTGCAGTATATAAGAATTTGTATCCTATTCCATCGTCTATATATATCATTTATAATAATACTGTTTTTATTTTATATAATAATATACCTTTTCAGTTTGAATTGTGCATAAAATGGTATGTTATGAATTTTTTTCAGAAAAAAGTATTTAAATGGTTAGAATAAAATTAATTGCACATGAAAATTTCCAATATTTTCCTAATGGATATTGAAGGGCGCAATAATTGTTAATAGCTTGATCAATCAGATGTTTGGTTTTTGAATAATTTAATATTGATAATATCTTATTTGAAAGATAATTAAGTAAAATTGGCCAAATAGAGGTTAATTATATTCTATATTTTATCTATACTCAAAATGGCTCAAATTTAAATGTATTTGTTTTTAATAAAAGTGAAAAAGAAACGTTGGAGAATCGTTGTCAGGTTTTCTAATATATATTAAAGATGGAAAGTGTAATTCAGTAATTCAACTTTTGCATAAATGCATACTTGAATTTATGATTTATTGAATATGATTTTTAGTTAACTGTATATAGCCAATACGTATATAATTTTTCTATTTTTGAAGAATTTCATACAATCGGTAACAATAAGAATAAATGATGTTATGCTAAAATGTTAGTGATCTCGAATAAATTTATCCAGAATACAAACATTTTCTAAATTAAATTTGCGAAAAAACTCGATCATAGCAATCTGTTCATTGATATTTTCCCATATTTTACAAGATTTAGATGGATTAATATGTTCTGATAAGCAGTGGAAAATAAGTTTATATAGTTCGTATAAGCATTTAAGAAATTCATAATTGTAAAAAATATCATAATTTATTTAACACTAATGGAATAAATATTTTATATTTATATATAAAATAGTAGCAGAAAAAGTAGAAAAAGGTAATAAAACGGGGAATTAAGTTTGACTGCATTTTACTATGTATTAGTATGAAACTTTTGTAATAGCTATTTTTGTTATCGTTATAGTAGTTTATATTTTATTATTGTCCGAAGATACTGATAATCCTTTTAGTAAAATTTTCAATAGAAAAATGAAGAAAATATAAATAGTTACATTATACATATAAACATATTATATATATGCAAGTTATAAGTGCAAACCAAATTTAAATTCATACCACGAAAAGTATAATAAAATTTAGGATTTCATATTCGAATTAAATAACTTGTATTTAGCGTATATTATATTTATTATAGAAAATTGCATGTTAAAAATAAATATTTTTATGTTCATTTCTAAAGCGACACAAGTTATTGAATTGATTTCATTAAAAGTTTTTTTTTAATGCATTATTTATTAAATTCCGTAAAATTGTAAAATCCGTGCATTATTCATTATTTACAATTATTTATTAAATTGAGTATATTGTATTACAGATGATGTATAAGTTTTTGACTAGATTATAAGTACCATAGCTGCAGTATAGTAAGGTCATTATACTATTTAATTTTTCTTAGCAAATATATTTTTCATCTTTAGTATTTCATTAATAATTATGTATCACAGATCATAAATTCTTTATTATTAGATATAAAAAATCATTTTTAATTTGAATTTTTATAATTTTTTTTTAAATATGCATATAGACACATACTCTCCCTATTACTGATTATCGATGTATTACTACTTAATTATCCACCTATATAAATTGATTACATTTATAAATAATTTTACTTGAAACTGATTGTATATTCGTTTTGTCAATAAAAAATATAAATGAAATATTTTAAATTGTAAAATATTTAAGATTTAAATTACGATTTAAGATTAATTATTAATTTAAATTATGTAAGATATTTAAATTATTTTTACTATATTTTTACTATAATCACCTATTCCTATAAGGACAACGTTTCTACAACGTCTAAATTGTATAATTTTAATGTTGTGAAGTAATATAGGGACTTAGAATTAAAATTCAAAAACTTTCTGATTTTACAAGATTATGCTGATGCTGCAAGCCTTCAATCAAGTCCATATGATGTGGCGCATGTATGACATTTATCTTTCGCTCGCGAAAGTATTCAAGCCTCTGTCTATGACTATCCATTATCGGTGTAAGACTCACGTCTTTCTTAAACTCGACTCGATCAATTTGATCGCTCACCTGTGCGATGCTATCAGGGATGGGCAGTGGTTTCGCCACACCAATGCGTACGATACCCTTTGGTGCTCCTTTAAGCGCCTGCACTGCCTGGTCCAGAGTTGCGTTTTCGAGGGCAATGTCATTTACAAAGAGCAGCCGATCACCCGGGATCAACTGTCCATCAACCTGGGCGACGCCGCCCGGTACGAGAGATCTTATTACTATCACAGTCTCGTTGGGGTTCATTGGATCCTGAAAAAATGTTCATTTTCAGGTCGAAAACGATATCTAGGTAGTAATTTACAATTATTTTTTAATTTAACATATTTGTGTGTATTATTAAAAATTTTATTAAAGATCAAATTCTAATATGTCTTATTTGATAAGATTTTCTTTATCAATGTTAGTCTAATATCATTAATAATGTAAAAATTGATAAAGTAACTCAACTACATAGTTTTGAATATAAGTTGATTAAATCCTATTGCTCATTATAATTTTAAACCATATAATAAAAAGTATTTAAAAAAAAAATTTTAAATATATAAATTATATTACCTGATAATCCAAAATGGAGAACCCAAGGCCTCTCTCTCCTTTTACCAATTCGATGATCTGTGGTTCAGAACTCCACATAGCTAGTCCAGTCAATGGTTCTAAGGAGCGAGATTTCATTTTATTTAGACTAGCATCTGTAACTGTCGCTGTCGTTGTAGTTGATGCTAAGGATCCATCTGATTTTGCCTTTACTAAACGATCGGAGGTTGGTAATAAATTTTGAAGAGATCCGCCGAGTATACTCTGAAAGATAAAAATATCGCAATGAAAATTAGATACTACTACACCAAAAGGAATTCTATAAAAGCCATTTACGCACTCTTGTTTGAAAAGCCGCTTGATGCTGGGCAGTGTCTATTGGACAGAGTGGATCTTGAGAAGCAATATTTCTTCCACAAATCATTCGAACGTGAATCGGCAGTTCTTTTAAAACGCTAACCACTTCCATATGGTTAATTCCAAGTAGACGATAACCATTTACCTGGAATATACAGTACATTTCAAATATGTTAAATATATACATATACACATATATATAGTCTATTCTATAAAGTCTATTATAATAAAACATATATGATTTACGATTACTTATCAGTTTTACACTGGTCTGCCAGATATTTTTTAGAGTAAAGACTTTACCGATACTACAATAATTATTTACATGATCTCAAATCATATGTCTTATATTTAAATAAATATAATAAATTTATTAAAATCTATAGATGAACAAATTCAAGTATCCAGTTGATTAATTATTTGTAGATATTTTAGTGGTAAGCCTCGTCAAATTGAAATCATAATTTATTAACAATTTCAGATTCATCCGATTTAGTTTCAACACTTGAAATATTAATAAATTTTGTCATAATTAAAAACATTTATAATATTTAAATAAAAGTTTGGACGGATGAAATACTACCTATTAAATATTGTATAACTCGATCATTAGATACAAGTTATTCGATTCATAGATCTTTAAATTAGGGTATGTCACTATGTATGAGATCGTCATGTTCGAAGAAATGAATATTACTTTAATTCAGTACTATTTTTATATATTGCCTTTATGTATTTAGAATAGGTAAACCGAAGATTTAATATCAAATTTACAGTCGTGGGCAATATTATTTGAAATGAAAAAAATACGAATATTGAAGGCAATAGCTCCGAAAATTATAAAATAAATGAAAAATCATCATCTGTGTGACAGTCATCTGTGTGTAACTGAATTACCAAATATTTTTTTTAACAAAGAATGCTGACTATTATTACTAATTTTTTATTTGAAGCTGGAGAAAATTTTATGTTAGATTTTTTAATTTTTTAATTTTAGACTTGTGTTTTAGACAATGTAAATCACTATTTACCATTCCAACTAGTATTTGGATAATAAATGACCGACGTAACGTAGATTTCCTAATACGAATAACTAATTAAAAGCGAAGCCGAAAAAATAATGTCGATCGTTACCGCAGATCTATAAATGTTCAAATTTTTCTTAGCTCTATTGTGTACCAATTACGCCTCATCTCATAAATAACATTTTATTTTTCTCCCACTTCTTTCTCATGCCCCCTTTTTACTTTCGTCTGTTTAATAGGCGTTCGGACAGACAGGGAATATCTCTGGCATCGCGTCATGGTTAAATTATTGCTCATTTATAATTATTATTGATTTATTTACCTCCAAAAGCTCATCTCCCGATCTCAAAATACCATTTTGCCCAACTGGGCCTTCTGGTAAAATAGAGCGAATGTAATGATGAGGTCGCACTTCTTGCCCATTTTCAACATCTACCGTACCCTCCAAACTAATACCGAGACCACTGCCTTCCGCAAATTTCTTTAATTGAGCCACCTAAAAAATTATAAAATTTCCGACGTCACATAATTTTTAAGAAATTAATGATTTCAAAAACATTTTAAAAATCGTTTTAAAATCCTTTAAAAATTATACCACTATTTCAATGTCTGGGCCAACAATTTTTTGCCACTTGACTTTTATAGCTATTTCAATCTTCGGTGTGAGTTCGGTGGAAGGATCGCTAAGTAGGGCTTCGATATTTGTAATATCATCAAAATTACCCATTAAAACATCTCGATCAATTTCTTGTAAAACTGTGCTGTCAACCGTGGTATGTGATTCGCCTTCCGGTTCTATTTCTATTGTCGTGTCACCGTCCTGCAACAGAAATGATATTATTATTATTATTATTATTATTATTATGATTATTATTATTATATATATGTAATATAGTTATATATAATGTCGTATATAAGTACATAAATAATATTTTGTTGGATTATCGTAATGAAAATTTACTTATTCTGAAATAGACTTTTCACAATCTCGACCATGTATTTTGATTGCACGTTGTAATAATAAATATTTGAAAATGAAAGAGGCTCGATATTTGGGCTAAAAAGTTAAAGTCATTGGTACTTACAGCACTTATGGGAAAGGTGGGTAGACTTGTGATTGAGGGTGAGCTCGGCTGGGGGAGTCTCAGCTCACTGGCGGCGATCGCCTGCTGCAGCTGCTCGTACTTAGGACCCCGTAGGTACCTCTCCAGGCATAATATTACTGTTTGTCCGGTACTTCTCAGGACCTCAACCGCTTCGTGATTCGAGTAGCCCTGCAGCGAGTGGCCATTCACTTCAACAATTCGGTCGTTTATCTGGATTTTCTGACTCAGATCGGCGGCACTTCCCTCACTTATGCTTTTCACGAAAATTCCCGATAGCTCCTCTATAATCACCAAATATCCAATGCAATTCAATCGCTGCATCGTTAAGTCTTATTTGTTATTTTCTCCCTTGGCTGTCGGGACTCGGAGTATCCAATACGTAAATAAATCAAGTTATTTATTATTTTTATGTTATTCTAGATTTGCATTCAAACACTTATTAAATTGATATTTATTCTTAATAATTTGTTAGTAAACAATACAATTAATCGCAGTAAAGCAATAGTTTTGATATTTAAATGATATCACATTCAATGGTAACACATTCTATAAATATGAAATTATTGTTAATTAGAGGATATTGTAAATAATTACTATACCTTTTGAAAATGTATGTACGATTATCTATATATTCTCTCTTATTGATACTCCTTTAAATGATAAAAATATATCTAAATTCTTGCTATTTAATGAAACTTATTTTTATTCCATAATTAGTTTGATTTTAGATTTAAGATAAAATAGTTCAGAATAGTAATACTACTGGCCAATAGAAGTATTTCTCAACATCGACAGGAATTTTTAATTAATTTTTACCAACATAAACTCAAGCTCAATTTAATAAATTAATTTACATGCATCACCTAGTTAAAAAAATCTACACTTATTTAGTTTTCAGTAAACTGAGAATAAACTGACAGGAAATAAAGTTCATTTAATTACACACATGTTCTCGATAAAACTTTCTATTATAAATTGTAATCTTGTCACTATATCGAATATACAAAACGATTTGTAAACATTTTGATTCACAAATTTGTCAAAGCCATTAACGTGACTCACCTTTCTCACAGACATAGCCGGCGATTGTAATACCGAGGCCACAGCTGTCTTTCTTCAGCTCGACAGTGAATCGCTCCATTTCTGGTAGGGCATTGACGTCAATGACGGTTTCCATCGACAGAACAGGCAGCTCGCCGATCGGCAGGGTACCCGGAATCGATGGAGTGATAATCGGCGCGGAGACCAACAGGGGACTACGCGCGACGTCAAGGATGAGGCTCGTGCGACCCTAGGCGAGGACAGAGGACAATTGGTGGATTTGATAATAGGGACTCGGACAGAGTTAGACAATAAGTAAGGAATTGCAAATCCAATTTTGTGGGTTGCAAATCTAAGAGCTTCGGAAGCTCTTTAAATCTTTTCGAAAATTGATTTTCCACTTATGTTCTGCATTCGGAAATTACTTTCAAAGAGTTCTCGTCGTCGCAAATTATTGGCCTCGAGTTATAATGTTAAAGTTAATAATAATGAATTTCACGCAGCAAATTAGTTTTGCGATTTAAATTCTAAATCTATATAATAAGATTATTAGTATTTCTGGGTTATGTATCGATTATAATAGATGTTAATGGCTGCAGTTATTATTAAAAAAGAATCCGACTAATCTATTAATTTTTATTTATAATAATAGCGCTAAAAATTTAACTAAAAGTGTGTTTATTTCAACAATGCAATAGAAAATATTTTATTCTAAATTTTAAATGTAATTAAAAATTACACTATCAAAATGTATTGATAAACACTTACGAGCGGTAGCTTTAATTTTCACAGTTTTAAACTCAAATATTTTATGTCTAACTTCTAACACATTTTAAAGTTTTCATCTCACGTAATGATCTATTTTGAATTTTAGTACTATTATCATTCGAAATTAACCCCATATTTAATTCTTAACGGTAAACTATATCAGTTTATACGGCATTTTCAAAATTTTATGTTCAATAAACAAGCACATACCTATATATTATTTATATAAAACTAATTTTAAATATATTACCTAGAATTTTAAATATTTACACTAAGAAATTTTTAAAACAATTAAGGCAATTATTATAAAATTATTAATATTTCCACGAAACGATATACGGATGTTATTATTTACGTACATCCGAATGCTTACACGTGCGTCGATAATTCTTCAAGTTATATGTCAGTATTTTATGAATTTATGAGATAGTATTGATAATGAAAAGAATTTAAGTTCTATTATTTATACAGTCATTTATTATAAATGTAACTACTTGACAACAAATATTACTATTATAATAAAAAACAACGTCTTTATTTTAATATAATTATCTTTATAATTATAACTCTAGTACTTCCATAATTTATCGTACTATTATTTCACTTAAGTATTATATTATCTCTATATCTAGTAGGCTCTATCTACTCAAAATAAGTAAATTAAAAGTATAGTAGAAATACGTGCAACGCAGATTATTATGTACAAGATTAAATTTTAGTGTCTATAACGCTTATTTGACCCATTTTTTCACAATTATAGAAAGAAAATTTAAGTAACAATAAATAGTTTATAATAATATTGTTTGTTGCTTTTCAAAAAGAGTCGAATATATTTAGTTTATTAGATTCGATACTATAAAATGAATCGTTGAATATTGTTACAGCAATTAAACAATAATTTCCTTTTATTTAATATCCGCGAAGCAAACTTTTGTGACTGATAATTCGCAGAAAAATAAAACTTTCTTTTTCACAACAAGTAAAAAAACTCTAGAGAATATGAATTTTTCACGAAAAAGGGATTTCAACCGGGCCAAATAATAGATAGGAAATTACAATTTCATAGGAGCAATTCAGGGTATGTGAATTATTAATCTGCAATTGAATTTGGAGGATGCTCACAGTCTGCATAAAAGCATCTCTTTAAATTCAAGCAAGGCTTCAATGTGGTTTCCGAATGATGGAATAAAGAATAATGGCGTCCCGCTGTTCGGCATAAAGAGCGAGCAAATAGAGGGGGAAAGACATGATTGTGCGTGCAAGCGCGAAATTGTCGCCGCACGAATACTAACGTGGATGTCCAATTCGGAGTTCGGTCCATAAACGGTGCCATTATCGTAGGTCGTGTCCCCTTGGCCGCGTCGGAGGTTGTGGGCATCGACGCCACTGCGCAGCAGGTGTCTATCGAGCTCGTCTGGATCACCGAGGATCTTCGTAGGTACAATTGGAGCGTGACTGCCCAGGGCCTGAGAGATGGACGTGGCATTCGGCCGCGAAAAAAATTATGATTAATCGAGTATGTTGACGCTGGCGGCTAGCCGGTTTAATACGGAAGCAGCGCTACTTCCCACTGTCGCCCGTATAATTAATCTCTTATCAATTTTTTCAAACAGCTTTGAGTTATTTTGATTGATGTGTAGAAGACTAATCTTTCATTTTAGCTGCTCTTTACTTACTCTTATACATGTTCTATTTTAGCGACATTATGTATTTTTAAAACAAGTATTTTATTATTGAATTATTACTATAGAATTATTCTGCTGCTATATTTTCTAAATTTACTTAAGTTCGAGACGTAAAAATATGTCGTTTTTTATTATCAAATGCATTTTAAGGGAGGCAATGTACAATTTGTGCTAATTTAGTTCTGTGTAAATATATTCTATACTACACGAATAACAATTAATGTTTCACTATTAAAGGCAATTTTTCACCTAAATATGTATTTAGTTAGTTATATAAGAAAGCACATACCGTATATATATAGCATTTGTAACAATATCGCAAAAAATATAAAAAAAAAAAACTGCGGGTGAAATAAAATAAAGTATTGCTATGATATGCGAAGCGCTTTATTCTGGATGTGACTGCAAGTTTATAATATTTATCAGAATAAAGAATGCACAAGATGTTGCCTAGTATTGAATGTCTTCATAAAATTGTGGTGGCAAGGAAAATGAAAATGAACATACTTTATTTACTCAAAAAAAAGAGAAAAAGAAAAAAGAAATAAAGTATAAATAATGTTTTATTACACAAATATTTTAATACTTTCATTATTTACTACATTAAATCTTCAGTTTTTTTTTCTCAATATAACATTCTTAAAATTTCTTTACTTTGAAATCAGATGCTCATTTAAATTTACTTAAATTTACTGAAAATATAGATACAAATAAAATAATAAATTTCATAAACTAGAAGTATATGTTTGTGAAGTATAATAATATCTTTGTAATAATTATTATAGAGTTAGTAATTACGTTATATTTATTTTAAAGAGTATATAATTAATATTACATATTTATATATATATATATATATATATATATATATATATATATATATATATATATATATATATTATGTAATAATGTTACATAATTAATCAAAGTAATTACAAAATGAATGTAATTCTACACGTAACTACACTCGGTAAGGTGTTCATATGCAGTCTTTTTCCTATTCGGTCATATAATATTTTTGCTACATTCCATGTATGTTTACACGATAAAAATTGTGTAAATTTCTACTAATTAATTTAGCTTGAATTTAAATAGAAATTTATTTGTGTCACAATTGTATATTAATACCATAGCACAGTTCTGGTATAAAAAATATTTTCATCGATTTTATTACTTGCCCAATTAAATTAATAATAAAATATTCAAATCAAATTTTAAATTCAATAAATGTTTTAAATATTAGTTCTCTTACATTTAATAATATTGATTGTATGAGATATTATTAGTGTTTATTAATTTTAGTGAAAGGAATTTATTAATAATGTGGCTAAAGTCAATGTTTTTTTTTTTGATACGTATGAATGTATTGAGTTTTTAACTTCAATATTCTACTTGTCTAGAAAATTAATATTTTGATGGTTTAAGCTCTAAACATCGTAAAAATATGGTTTATTATGTTATACAAAATGCCGTATAAAAATTATTAACGACCACTAATAGAAACTGGTTTGTCAATAGAAAGTAAATCAAAGTTTAGGGACAGAAAGAGTGACCTGGTTAACCTAGAGAAGACATACATAAAAGTATACGAAGAATTGCAAATTTATGCATCATATTTTTGAGGAATTGATCGTCAGATGCAATCATCGGTAATTAAAAAAATAAATGTCAACAGAAGGATAGAATGGGCCGCCTACCTGGTAATCAGGGGAGGTGGGCTCGATGGGTCGGGCGACGACGAGGCGCACGTGAGTTCCCGATTGACGCAGCACAGCTGCAACTTGCTCGCTTCCCATTCCTCGGAGGTTAACATCCCCGATTTGCAATATGTGATCTCCGCTTTGCAATCGATTGTCCTGGAAAATAAATAAATCCAGGCACCGATGAATAACCAGCCATAAAAATCTCCTAAAGAAGGATAGCGTACCATATTGATTTTGATAAATAACGGACCTTTTGGCCGTCAACCGGTTTTGCCAACAATATGGAATTATTAGTGTTTTTGGGAAACGAGTGAAATGGACATTAAAAAATTTTTTTTTCAGATAATAAGTAATATAAGTGATATATTCCTATTCATTAATTATAACAATAAATCGTTTAAATTAAGTATTAAATTTTTGTAGGTTACTTATTTCAATTAATAATATTAACTTTTATATGTCAACTTTTACATGTCTCTTTTGATTATGTTTTTAATTAAGAACATACTTGTAATAATTTAAAACAATTTTCCAAATTAAAAATGACTGTTTTTATTAAATACTATTTTTATTAGAATTCAGTTATTTCATTTAGTCAAGATTATTAGCTTTAGAATAATTAGGTTCTCAATAAAAAAAAATAAATAAAAAAATGACTTTTAAATATAGTGATCAGCACTTTAGTAATGAAATACTCAGCTATGGACTTACGCGATCGGCGACTCCACCGGGAAGTATCGTTTTAACGACGACGCCAGTACTTCGTCCACCAATGATACCAAAACCAAGACCACTGCCATCATTGATAAGGTTGATTACTTCTACTTGCGCCCATTCAGTATTTAGCTAAACATGAACAATGAAAATAACTAGGTGACTTAAATAACTCGAATTTATAATAAATTTATTTAGAGAAAAAAATATAAATTGATATTGATGGTTGAGAATATACATTTAATTACAAGGACAATTATAAGCATATTCAACAAAAAAAAAAAAGAAGGAATTCTGTAAGCTATGGTATAGAGAACGTTTTGTAATAGTTAGTCCAGTCTTTCATTCAACGAAAAAAATTATATTTAAGCTTATAAACAATTATTTTTATCATTTAATAAATATAATAAATGTAAGCTTATAACACCTACTTATTCTAATATTTTCTCAGAATTTAATTACGAAAAGAAGAATTTTCTTGATTATTTGGATAGCTGCCAAAAATATAACGTGATATATATAAATGAATAGTTTAAAATTATAATATAGTTTCATATTTATTTTAATTTCGATTTTAATGAATTTTTCGATAATTTATTGGATATTTAGTTTTATAAAAGAAAAAATATATTTTTATTTATCTTAAAAAACGGTACTTCAAGTTTCTGCTAAAAGTTAAGTTCCTTTTCACAAAAGTTGTTGGATTAGAATATCTAACGAGTCATTAAAATAGAATGACTATAAGTACAGAAATTCTATCTTGCTTTAAATTTCAATTCTCTATCAAAAATAGGAACTTTGATTTCAAAGTAAATTTATCTATTTTTCTAATTTGATATATTAATAGTAATTATTATTTAAAAATAAATAAATGATTAATTTAGTATTACTATACAATACTGATTACTATTACAATACTGATTAAGTAGCATACTCCAACTAGTAAATTAAATAATTAAAAGTGTTAGAAATTTATTCCTAGTTTTTATCATATGAAATCGGATAATATTTTTAGAATTAAAATTATTATTACATAAATATTGCTACTAATACTTAATACAATATTTAATTGTATATATAAAGCTTATAATATTATTCTTCATTTTAGTGATAAATTAATATATAAAATTTTATTGTCTGAATAATAAAAAATAATTCACTAAGTATCATATTTATGAAAAACGATAAACATAGATATGCATACACATGCATCTAGTAATGTTGGAGATCAGAATTATGTAAAGTAACTGCAATATACTTTTATGAATAATGAAAGTCTTTTCATTCACTTTGATTTTCATTGAGAAATTGTTCGTCATCATAAGATGCCAATGGAGCACATAACATAGGCGGAAATACAATTTGCTACATAACAGTTTTAAAATGTGCAAAAAAATGTACTGTACTTGAATGCATCCAATATACTAACGATTCGACAATAAACGTCGTCATTAAAGTCAATGCATGAGATTACGGGGGCGAAGTGCTAGGGCTCGGAGTCAGAATAGTACGCAAAGAGGATGAGAGGGAGCCGGCGCAAGAGAGTGTGTGTGTGAGTGAGGAGGAACATTGGACTTGCGCCAAGCTTACAACATCCTATAAATGCGCGAATGAGATAGTAAAAAAGGTCTGGCAAAAGGGCGACTCACTGTAACAGGACGAGTATTATCTGTTGGGACCCAACGGTACTGTGTAATTGATGCGAAGGTACGTACATCTATGTTTGCATAAGCTGACATAAGCTAGACAGATAGTTAAATGCCTACGCTATCGATCATAACTCTTTTATTATGATATATTATGAGAAATCCTATTGTACACATTCACAATTTCTATGTTAGTTGTGATATTTCATATAAATATTTGAATTACAATGATTTTCTAAATAATAAATTATAATAAACAATAAGAAACATAATAAATGAGAAATTTAATAAACCACTGCAATAAATTAATTGAAATTTTCATAATTTCTGAAAGTTGTAAAAAAAAAGACTAGTCAAAGCTTTTAATTGAAAGGAAAAAAGACTTCTTCTCATTGCCAGTTTAGCCCTTCTGACTTATTAGGAATCCACAATAGCACATAGGGATTTTGTTATACATATAAGATAATCACGAAGAGATAGAAAGAGAAATATTTAAGCTATTTAAAAAATTCGCTGTTACTAAATTAAATGTCATTAAATTACAGTTGAGATATTTGATCACTAAACACAATAATTATAAAATAATATCACTTTTTTAAACGTAATAGGATTTTATATAAAAATAAAAATTATTATTTTTAGGAATTAATGAAGCTTTTATGTTAGTAATTTTAAGCTTTGTTTTATAAGTATTTTATAAAAAATTAAAAATTTTAAGATAAAGAAAACTGGTAACGTAAATTTATCTGTAAACGTTGATTTTCAATCACTAATATTAGGATTTCATTGTAAAAAAATTATATTTTCAAATAAAACATTGACTTCATTCCAAATAAATTTTTTGACTGGTTATGTTAATAACTAAAAAATTCATTATTGATGCGAATGTAATTATTGTAACTGAAAATCGATCTCGGATACTTTTTATGTATACTCTAATATTTTTTCAATTCTAATTTATTCGTCACTAAAATTTAATCAAGTACTCTATATTTAAAATTTTTGGGATAAAATATTTTTTATCGAGATTTTTTTTTAATTTGTAAACATTAATTAAGAAAAGAATGTTTATTTTACATTTTAATATTTTAACGACCTAATTTAAGTATTTAATATTATACAATAATGTACTTTGAAATTCTATACGCGAAGTTCATTTATACTATAAAATAAGTATTTTTCAGAATAAAATAAGTTTAATTAATGATAAATAGGAAAGAAACAAAAGGCGATGAAGCAGATTTTCATTTTCGTTTCGATTAAATATTATTTTAAAACTTTCAGTTGAAAAATATTATGAAACCTTATTTAAAAATTGTTACATGATTTACGTTGATGCAATTTACGTTAACAATGTTCTATATTTATATATTTATTATACTTTTATGATAATTTAAGGTTTATTTTGAAATTACTTAAAAAATAGAAGTATGATATGAACTTATCAATATGAGTAATATAATATATTGAACCATGTTAGTTAGTAAAAAATAATGAGTACATAATATTCATGAAAATATTACATTATTATGTGTTGATCAAATTATATTGTATTTCTGTTTATCAGTTAAATTATAAAACAATATTAGGATCTATAATGAAATAGCATGGAAACAATTTACAGTTAGAAGTAAATTTATAAATGATTAATGATGTAATAAGAATCATTGAAATTAAAATTTACTTATTAATTGTGCATTAATACTAAAATTATGTATTGATTGCCTTATATAAATTAGAGTTATTTTTAATTTGTCTTTTAAAAATAATGTATTTATAATTTTGGTCTACAGTACTAATATTTATCTTTTTAATTACCGATTTCTACATTATTCGAGATTGTTCAAAATGATACATTTAATTTGATATATTTATTATTGATAATAAACTGAAAATATATTATTACTATAATTATATACTTTAATATGATATATCTGCATATTTATAATATTTTTTGCTGATTGTAAATTTATTAATGATGCAATTATGAAATTATCGATAATGAATACATTAATTTTATTAAGTAATCCATTAATTAATTTTGCTTTAGAATAAAATACATTACTTTGTAAGAATATTTTATTTTAATTAATATTGAAATAACGACAAAGATGTATAGTAATTAAAAATGATTGTTCATTTATTTAGAATAGCAGTATTCATATTTAGAGGTTATGTTAGATTTATCATTAGTGCTCACTCCCGACTTTTTCCTTTTCTATTCTGAGTTGCTGGAAAAAATTTGCCTTCCGCATTCATGTAAAATCTTTTGTTGTATGCATTGAGATCAAGAATTGACAATGTTTTTTGCTTTTTTCATGGGTAGTATAAAAGATCTGGAGTTGGTTAAAAGAGTTATTTGAAGCGTCAACAATGCCTCGTTATCACGAGAGAATAGAAAGTGGGGGATTTGGCCGTTTGCCGTTTGCTCTCTAAATGCATCGGAGTCGAATTTTGACTCTTTCCGTTACAATCTATATTTACTAAGTATAATTTTTTTCTTATTTGGCAACATATGTAGGGGCATCTTTCACTAGATCATAAAATACCTATCATTTGTAGTATTGTATCACGTTAACGCATACGTGGCACGCTTATTTGAAGGTAAATAGAATAATAATTTTAAACAAGGTGTCTTTAAATCGAACTAAACCAGCAAATATTTAAGATTTAATTTAATATTTTAATGATGGATGATTAATATACGGTGTTAGAATTTACTTCATATAAATACACATAAAGCTGTTAATATGCAGGAAGGATAAATATATATAAAAACTGTATTAAACATTGCTTCTTTAAAAATCACTTTTATACTAGATATATAAAACTTTTTCAGTTTTAGAAACTAAATTTGAATCATTCAATTGTTTTATTTTTCCAAATTTGTTGTATAAAGTAATATTTAATGTATTTCTATATCAAGTTCTTTATTATTATGAGCGATAATTTGAGAGAAAGTAAAGAAATGTTAAATTTAAATAGTATAATGTGATTTAAAATTAGAGAATAGCCCGTTATTCTTTTAAAACATACTTCAATATAGTATTTGACTAATTTTTAAAGTATTTAAAAACTTTAAATGAAGGAAGCTTTATAGATAGACAATTATGTAAATTATAAATTCATTATTTAAATATAGTTTTTATTTACATTTTAATAAGAATTTGCATCAGATAAAAAGTTGTTAATCTTGGATGAAATAGACCTCGAAATTAATATTTTTTTAAAGTTAAAAATGCTATATAGAACTTATACATAAATACCATTTAAGCTTTAAAACATTTATATTTTCATGGTAGAAGGACAAATGAGAAACTTGTAAGCAATTTTTATCGCTTTTTAAATAAAGCATTAACATTTTCCATTATTTCAGAAATCATGCTTACAATTTATGCAAATATCATTTTTTAATAAAAGCGTTCATAACTGTCGGATCATATGCTCATTTGTATTCGGATTACTGAATCATTCTGCATCTCTCTATGCTTACGACGTCATTTTCCAAAATTCCATCTTCAATCGCTTTGATTGATTAGCCTCACATGTAACTCACCACCATGTCACCACCTTTGGATGCGTCGCTAACAGCGGAGTTGCTCCTTTCGATGAGACCCCCGGGAATCTGTCCCTGGCCAATGGTCGTCGATTGTGCCGCTGTTGCAGGTGCCGTTGGTGGTGCCGCCGCTGCGACGACGTTAGCCGCTGGAATAGTACTAGCCCCCAATTGGGGAACGGGAGGTTTGCTCCCAACTGAGATTGCGAGGACTTCCTTATCGGGGCTAATGTTGCCGGGTTGAACAACTGCTGCCGCTGCTGCTGCTGCTGATCCGCCTCCACCTCCACCCGCTGCCGCTGCACTTGCACCAAGTACCCCGGACAACTCATCCGTCGACAGAGTATTCCCAATATCTGTTAACAAACATTTCGATTATGTTAAAATTATTACTCGAGTACTTGTCGGTTTTGTCGATAATTCAAGAATAAATGTATACGGGAGGGTACGAAATTATGTGCATTATATTTACGTCGTTTACTGGGAGTTTCCACCATCGAGTCATTTATGAAAGAGCTGGCTTATGCGATCGTAAGGTTCTCTATAAATATCGGATAATAAATATTCGAGAATTTTTGACGAAGCAAAGAAAATGAACGAAATCAGAAATTGGAAAAGGAAATAAGTATTAAAATAAGGTCGGAAATAGATTTGTACACATTAGATTATTAAGTAAAATAAATATATAAGGCTTTTAATTGTTTAGGATATACTATAGATAGGCCCGTACAAAATTTCAATGAAATCAATCAGTATAATAAGCTACAACATTAATATAATTATTATATTAAATAAATAAAAGAAATATCGAAAAATAGTTTAATATTAGTAATAAAAATAATGGAGATTTGATTCCTCATCTACTTGAATATTTATAAATATTTCAATGCTACAAAGTTTACATAGGGAACTACGTGCGTACCAATATCAAACAGATGACTAGTTTCCATGATAGTTGATAATTAAATATTAATTTTCATGCAATATATACATGGCAGATGAGATTACCAGATTGAATAGAATGCTAAAACTAGCATTAAAAATTTCCAAGAACTAAAAACAGCTTAATTCTGTGCTCTATATTTGGATTATTATTTTTAATAGAATAAAATATGAAAAAATATTTCCTCCTCAGCTTTTCCTAACTCTATTTAATATGAAATGATGTTTAGGAATATAGTTTTTATGCTATTATGACTAACAATAATTTGGATATGTTATATTAATAAGTCAACCAATATATATATATATATATATATGATATTTAAAATTAGTTTAGGTTTTCATTATATTAATATTGCACATAATTATTTATGTATATTCAATTACAAAAAAAAAGAATGTTTTGACATAAAAATTATATATAAATATGTATGTAAATATTAAAGTATAAAACATATAAAAACATTAATTTATATCATATGAATATATAAGAATATATTGATGCTGAGGAGTATCGTAGAAATTTGCACGTAAATAATTTCTTAAATAACGATAAGATTAATTAAGTGTATATAAAAATATCCGTGTAATGCATAAAATGGAGGTAAATAAAAAAATCGAACAAATATAAAAACCGAAATATACGATTTCGTGAGTTCGATTGAAGCACAAAGGTTGTTTCTTATTTTTATCACATAAAAACAGCAATAGATTGAAAATTAAAAAAGGGTTCTTAATGGTTCGAATTTAAACGAATGAAAATCTATTTCCTGAAAACAATTATTTTTTTGTAGCTTTCATTTTTATTGTATAATGTATCGACCAAAAAAAAAAAAAAAAAAAACTGGATTCATGAGCATAAATGTATCCGTCGTAAAACTATTTAATATAAGAGGATAACTGGTCTATGTAATTGATTGTTTATATTTTAAAAATTTATATCAATAAATAATAACTTATTAATGAAACATACATTGTAGTAGATATCGAATATTGAATGTTCGTGGATGCATTTAGTGTGTCTTATCCTAAGAATAACGCAGTCAATCAAAAGTATAATAAACTTCAAAGAACATTCTCTATACGAGCAAACTCTTTTTTAGATTTTATCTGTTTATGTTCAGTAAATATCCAAGTATTTAAAAGTATTATCTTTGTCAATATAGATAAAGAATTGACTTCCTTCGACTTGAAACAAATTTGGAAAAAACGAGTGTATTACATTGTATTGAAGAAGACACAAGAGCATAAAAGAAAAAAAGAGTCAGGAATCGAAAATAAATGAGAAGCTATTTTTTAGAAAGGGGTTTACCATTACCATGGCGCACTTGATGCTCCGGTTACCGCAAATAGAATGACCAAGTAGAGGATGTCGTGGGACGGTAGAGTTCGGTCCTGGCAAGTTGTATTCGAAGGCTTTACATATATACTCCACCTTGACAGTCGAGTAGGAATCTGAAGCTAAACTCTTTCGATCAATTTGCCATTCTAAGAAAGCTAAGAGAGCTCGTTGAGCTGAAGGTACTCAACAATACATCGCATAAAGGTGCAATGTATTAAAGAATTGTTCGTTGATCTACAGTATTAAACTGCATCGCATTATCAAAGTCGATAGATGAAGTAAGACAGAGTATCAGCGACAAGAGAGAGATAGACTCAGAGACTAGCGAACAATGCGGGAGGTATAATTCTTGAAGCAGATACGACTCACGGAAAGGGTGCAGTGATCGAAATTGAACTTGATTTGCGGAGTGGAAGACTTAAGTTGTGGTTGAGCCACTGACTTATTTGAACGGTGATAATACTAGATTGTTTGTAATTTATTAAAAAATTTAAGATACGAAATCATAGATCTGTATTAGTGCTTGAAAATAGCATGACAGCAAGCCGTGAAAAAAATGAAATTACAATTAATAATGAATAGTAAAATGAGGCCATTTTTAATCATGTAATTCTGAAATTTAATGTAAAATTTTTTTATAAATTATAAAAAACTCAATAAATCATACAACACTATTTAAAATAATTTTTTATGAAACTTAAACAGAAGGTTCTTATAAATATTTAACATATGTTAATTTGCATTATAATTAATATATCTTTAATAATCATAGATAATTATATATCGATATGATGAAATAAATAAAATATGTTTGAAGATTAGTTTCTGTTCGAATAACAGCGAACAAATAAACCAAATAGATATTTTAATTTGTGTTGCTTTCTTACAATTTATTTTAAATGAATAAAATATTAATTTTACATTAAATGGAAAAATATCAAATCAACTGAATACTGCTGAAATAAATGACCATGTTGATTTTTATAAGTTCGATTTCAACTGCACACTTGAATTGATTTAGTTAAGTATTTGAATTGAAAAAAATTATTGATGGCATTCATTGATTTTATTTAATGACTTGTTTAGTTATTATTTACATAAAATAGTTTTTTATGATTATTTATACTAAGAGATTCTTTATTCAAATAGAATTTAATAATATAACATGGTTTTACAAATATAAAATAAAATTTATAAATTTAATGAAATACATTGATTACCAAAGAACGATTACACGTAGTAAATGTTTTAATTTTGCTTCTGGGTTAACTTTGTTAATCAATTATATTCGGATTAAAATTGTATAATTCTTCTCGTTCCTTATATTTCAATAATTCTTATCTAATCAAGTATTATTAATTCATCAGGAAAATCTTTCAGCTTCTGTCAATTATCTTATCTGATTATTTAATAAATTATTTTTTCCTACAGAGTTATGATGGTAAATTTAAGTACTTTCTTATATTCCATGCTTTAAAATACTTTGTGGAATTTGCTTTTTAAACTTTTCTCTGATTTCTTTGAAAGTTCGTATATCAAATTTGAATAAGTCTAATATTAATATTTTTATATTCCACATAAGTTAAAATATTATTTTTTGAATATTGTGATAATTAGCATTAATATGGTAGTCAAAGTTAAAGATAATGTATTTGCAATAAAATATGACTGAGACTTACCGATTCCCATTTGCTTTTATCTATTGGTTGTTCATAAATAACTGTATAGAGATACTTAAACCCAGTTTTAAAACGACAAAATTGAAAGACAATAAAAGTAAGAAAAAGAAAACAAATAGAAAGATGATAGAGGGAAACAATGAGTGAGTGAGTGAGTGAGAGAGAGAGAGAGAGAGAGAGAGAGACAGATAGACAGACAGAGAGAAATTGAGGTAGGGAAATAGAGAAGACAGAAAATAATATAATTTTAATCTGTACTTCATGCATGGATTTCTATACGTAACGAGCAGCTATGCACACTTAATTAAAAGTTTTATAGCGCTCCGATAATTACCAAATACTGTATTGAAGTGAGTTCATTCCCATATAAGTGATGAATCGTTTCTTTTTGACATGTTTTCTATCTTTCTTTGATTACTATTATATGATAGCCATATTATATAACTCCCAATTTGTAAAGAAATTGAACCTATTGCATAAGTTTCTATATTTTCAAAAACTACATAATCGTTACTTTTTTTGGTTTAAAGTACCTTATTTATTACATACAAAAATCATGTAAATTAAATATTATATAAATTGACTGAAAAGAATTTTAAAAATTGCCTTCGAATTTTAAGCTATTAATGATATTTTTATATTGAAATTTAAATTAATTTTATATTGAAATTTAAATTAATTTTATATCATATTAACATTACTAAAATAACTTATATATATACTACGAAATTGTATTTATTTTCCGAAACATAAACATAATATTTTTTAATTATGAATGGCGAAATAAAACTAGTGTTGAAATAAAAATTATTTGATATTATTTTTGGTTAATACTTTCGGGTAAATGTGTTTTTTCAATTACTCTAGAGAATATTTCAAAGTCTAATTACTCTAAATTATAAAAAATTGTACAAAAAAAATATTTGTGGTTGTACCGTAAAAATATGTTTCTAGTAAAGTACGTATATACCATATAGCCAATATGTTATTTATAACGATATATCTTGATGGCCCTTTATATAAATCGTCCACCACCAATGGATCATGTTGCCACGTGGCAACATATCAAAACTTACAAGTTTATAGGTTGCGCCACAACACATATACATTAACACACCCACCTATACACACGCGCACACACGGACAGAGAAAGAGAGAAATAGTACCATTGGGCGCGGTGCCGAGTTCGTGCAAGTATATATTACCCTTGAGAGATACGATTGCGTCCATCGGGTTAGCATTAAATGTATCATTGCATAGTAAAGAAGTGCATATATGCACTCAGGATAATCAGTTCATCTCATGAACAGCATCTTCGGAAACCTCCGATAATTCCCTAATTTCGATTCTCTTTCGCTCTCAACCTGGTGTCATCGTTGTCGTACAAAGGGGC